TGCGATCACGACTCCCCCACCTCCCTTCCCAACTGCACGCCCACACCCCTGACCCCTACCAGGACCTCCTTCCCCCCGACTTCCTCCTTCCCACACGCGGCCCGTCAAGATCACCCGAGTCCGCTTCCCCCCCTGCGCGACTCTCCCCCCACGCTCACTTCCCCATCATCATCATCATCACCATCATCATCCCACCATGCTACCACCCAATCAATCATCCCTTTATTTATTTATAATTCATTTTTATTATTCACTTGAAATTCTTGTAAATTTGCAAATACTTAATTAATTGTTTTTTCAACATTTCCGTTCCGAAAATATTTTCTTTTTCGAAACTTTCAAAAATACGTAGAATTAGTTATTCTTTCTCGGCACTTCTTCCTCGAAATTCAAAAATTATTTTAATCAATTCTTTTTCAAAAATGTTAATTCAAAAATATTTGATTATATTTCAGAATTAATTAAATTATTTTTTCACATTTCTTTTTCGTAATTCAAAAACATTTCTAATTAATTCTTTTTCAGAATTAAATTGGAAAACATTTTAAAATTAATCAAACTCTTTTTTTTTTTTTTCGTATTCGAAATACGTAGAATTAATTCATTCTTTTTCGACATTCCTTTGAAATTCGAAACTAAAAATTTTAAAAATACGTTAGAATTAACTAAATTCTTTTTTGATATTTCTTTTTCGAAATTCGAAAATAATTTTACTTAATTCCTTCTCTCGTCTATTTTAATTACTAAGAAAAATATATTTCTTGAAATTCGGGATTTTTTTTTTTTTAAATAAAGAAACAGTAGTTTTATTAGGGCCCACTGGCCAAGGCAGAAATACAATGTCAAAGAACTGCAGATTCAGGGGTCGCAAGGTCTCCAATCCCACTTCGTCGGGTGGAGCCGCTCCCGTGTAGAAAACCACTGTCTTCCAAAAAAGAAACACTACCAAATCCCCGATTCCTACTCTGAAAAAAGACAAAGAAAAAAGAAATCCACAGCAAAAAAAACTACTTAGGGTTTCGACTAGCGCCACAAGTTTCGTAAAACTCACGACAACAGTCCTAATTAATGCCCACTCTGAAAACAAACCAAAACAACTGCACCGAACTAATCCTAATTAGGGTTTCGATTAATTCCTAGATCATAATGTCCCACGAAATTCCGAATTAGGGTTGCCAAGGTTACCACAAAAAAATTCCTGTCCCATCAAACCGCAATGAAGGTTCCTAATTGAGGTTGCAATCGTAATGACCACATAAATTCCTAATCAAGGTTAACACAGTTACCAATATCTAACCGATGAAAACAGACCCAAAGTAATGTGTCAAGCCACAACTGTGTCAGGAACAGAAAACAAAACCA